TATGTATGTATGTATGTATGTATGTATGTATGTATGTATGTATGTATGTATGTATGTATGTATGTATGTATGCATGTATGTATGTATGCATGTGTGCATATATATATATATGTATATATATATGTATGTTTGTATATATAGAGGTCCATTCAAGGGAGAACTGATTAGTTTGTGGTAATTGTGAGATCTAATCTAAACTACAAATCAACGGATAAATACAGAAATTAGTAATTATGATTGTTTGAGTTAAAATTATAATTAAAGGGCATTTTAGGTATTTTAAAAAAAACTCCTCTCTCCTCTCTCTGACCTCCAATATACGGCCTCCGACCAACATTATTTTGGCAGGTACCAAGTAATCACAAAGATACATAATGTGATACCCATTGTGATATACTATGATACCATTGTCATACCAATTATGATACCAACTCAAACCACAAAAAATCAAATCCATTGTGATACACCTTGATAAAACAAAGGAAAAATAATGAAATTGCATATTGTGATACAGTTCACAAAATAAGACTACTTGATACACTGTGATACACTTTGATTTGATACAGTTCACAACTTTTTAAATACATGAATACAAGTAATCCTAGTACCAATCCATCAAACCCGTCCTCCTTTTCTACTAACTTTTTAAGGTAGCAGAAAAAAGAACTTCAATAAGCTATATGGAATAATACCCGCAATATCAGTTCATCAGGAACATGGGGAAGCACTTCACGAACGGTTTCAGCCATCGCAAGTATATTTAATAAATCATCATCTGAAACACGTGGAGGAGTCCTAATGACTGAACCACCACCATGTCCTCGATGTCTTATGGTACTAGGAGAAGGATTGTTTGAAGTAGATGTGCTAGCAACCTAGGAGGGATTTATAGGCCACAGGTTCCATGCATTGTTTTCAAGGGCAGTCTAAGCATAAGTTTTCCCAACGGCTGCAAGATGTCTCATCATCATCTGGACTCTTCCCAACCCCACGGATCTCATACCTATAGATGGTGGTGGTGGTGGTGGTGCGGCGCAATTGAAGGAAGGATCGGCGTAATCATCTCCGATGCCGAAGATTGGAGTTGAAGGCAGCGGGAGTGAGAGGCAGCAACAGGGATCTCGGCCTAGGGTTTTAGAATGAGTTAATAAGTTGTCAATTTTTTAAAATTACTAATACACCCTTTTTTTTATTTAAGATAATACAGTTAATATAATAAAATGATTGATTATGATTGGACCTTACAGTTAGCACAAACTAATCAATTCTCATTTAATTAGGCTCATATATATATATATACACACACTTTTATGGTATAATTACCAACCATTATCCCTTTTCTCAACCAAAAAAAAAATGCTTCTACACTTGCTATGCTGTAATGTACACCTAATCTCACTGTTTTTGGATTTTTTTTTCATTAACATAAATGTTTAGGATAAGAGTACGAGAAAAAAATAATTTAACTGAAAAAATAAAAATAATTTTAACCGATATTCATTATTAAAATTAAATATATATTTTTCTA